TGGATGCCTGGGGCTTCCCAAAGTGGTCCAGTTCCTTCCTACTAAGCTGTATCTTCCTCTGGGTGCTTGGGGATTCTGCTTTCAGTCTTGGGTGGCATCTTCCTGGAAATTGAGCAGCTTCTTCATGATCATCTTAATAAATTTTACATCTCTGGCATAGCACAAATGTTTACAATTACTTTGTTTTCTATTAATTTCTTAAATGCATGTTTTCAATCAGCATTTGAAGAGAAACCGAGAACATCTGTAAAGCTGAAAATGGAGGCATACAAGTATTTAGTGCTTGTAAGAAAACTAAATGGTCTTGCATGAGACAGTTTGTTCTGCTGGCGTACCTGGAACAGACTTTCTCTCATGTGTCCTTTCAAAAAATGGTTCAAGATAGGCTGGAAAATACTGAGCATAAGCTGAACATCAAATATGATATATATTAACTAATCCAGTTGACCTGGTCTATTTATACAAAAATTAATAATATGAGGATGTTATTATTGAATTTGTATATTTTGAGTATCTACTGTATGTTCCGCATTTTACTGTCCCTGCTCAAAAGGAGCCAACATCCTGGCAGACAAGGCAGATACAGACACAGCACCTGTTCCTGTCTTCACACAACTCACAGGTATTTGTTGAATGCCAGGCATTGTATCATAAAGAATACAAGTGTTCCACCAGTAGCATTAGTGAAGTGCTGCCTCACTGTCAAATTGAGGAATAGGAGATGAAGATTGCTGGCGTAGTGATAAGGAGGAGAAAGACTCGGGCAAAGACAAACTGACTGGAGTTAGTGGTCCAAGGCGGGTGGGAGAGAAGAGGGCATCAGAGAAAGACTAGGCGGTGGAGTCACGTCACCAACTGAGCAGAGAGTTGGAGAGAAGGGAGCAGAGAGGGAGGAGAGAATTTTTTTAAATACTGTGTTCTGCTCTAGACATGCCAAGTTTCAGGCACAAGTGACACATATCTAAAGAGGGTTTAGGCAGCTGGAGTTTGCACAACAGTGTTCTAGAAAGGAAGGAGGTGTGGGGGGAGGGCGCAGACTTCTGTGTAAAAGTTCTTACCAAGTCCTTGCAGAGGGCTGGGTGGCACACACAGGATGAGATTCCATGAGGCCAGCAGAGAGCGGCTTTGGGGGTTAAAGAGCTAAACAGAGAAACCAGGAGTCGTTCTGTGCTGGCAGACACTCAAGTGTCTGCCCATCCTGAGTGGACAAAGCCCTGTGGGCACCTCAGGCATTCAGTTACTGTCCCAGAAGGACACACCAAAGAGTAAGGATAACAGCCTTAAGTAAAGAACACACTAAACTCTGCCCTGGCTGGTGCAGCTCAGTAGATTGAGCATGGGCCTGTGAAGCAAAGGGTCACTGGTTCGATTCCCAGTCAGGGCACACGCCTGGCTTGCAGGTCAGGTCCCCAGTAGGAGACACATAAGAGGCAACCACACACTGATGTTTCTTTCCCACTCTTTCTCCTTCCCTTCCCCTCTCTCTAAAAATAAATAAATAAAATGTTTTTAACCCCTACACACACACACATTAAATTCTATCTGCCCTAGAAACGTCTAAAAGGCCAGGCCTGAGAGGGTCAAGAGGATTTTCCAGTGATTTAATTTTGTGTAAAAATTAAACTCAACACTCAAAACTCTGCAATATAATCAAGACTTCCTAAAATATATAGAATGAACAGCATATAATTAAAAATTGCCAGATCTGTGAGGAAGCTGGAAAATGTCAACCATAATTAAGAGAAAAAACAGCCAGTAAAAACAGGTCCCCAGATGCACAGCTGTTAGAATCAGCAGACAAGACTGTCCAAACAATTGTTATAAATATTTTCATAGATTTAAAGGACAAGATGAATGTGACGCGAAAGGAAAAGAATAGACAAGATAAGGAATCTCAATGGAAAAATTTACATTTTTATTTAATAAATTAAAAACAAATTAAATTTTATTATTTAAATTAAATAAAAGAAAGGCCAATGAAAATTCTAGAATTAAAGAGTACAATCTGAATTAAAGAATTCAATAGGTGGCCCTTATAGCATACTGGAAACTGCCAATTAGGGGTGAAGTCAATAAACTAAGATCAAAATAATCAAAACCATGCAGAGAAAAAAATTTAAAAAAAAAACAAAAAGAGAAACTGAGAAGCCTGTGGGACAATATTAAGTGACTCCACACACCTGAAACTGCAGTTCCAAAACAATCCGAGAAAGTAGGGTGGAAAAATTGGGGGGGGAAATGCCTGACCTTTTTACAAATTTAGTAATATTTTGATTATAAAATTATATTCCTGGTTCCAGTATTTTTAATTTTCATAAAATTGGGGCCTTTGAAATGAGTGAATGCAAATGTCTTCTCCCATTTGGTTGGTTGCCGTTTTGGTTTGTTGGTGGTTTCTTTTGCTGGGCAGAAGCTTTTTAGTTTGATACAGTCCCATTTGTTTATTTTTACCTTTACTTCCCTTGACTTTGGGGTCAAATTCATAGAATCCTCTTTAAGAGCAAGTTTTTTTAAGTTCAGTACCTATGTTTTCTTACTTGTAATTTATTGTTTCAGGTCTTATATTTACAACATCTTTGACCCATTTTGAGTTAATTATTATATATGGTAACAAACAATAATCTAGTTTCTTTCTCTTCCATGTGGATTTTCAATTTTCCTAGCAACATTTATTGAAGAGGCTTTCTTTTCTCCACTGTATGTTTTTTTGCTCCTTTGCCAAAAATTATCTGCCCATATACATGTGGGTATATTTCTGGGCTCTCAATTATGCTCCAGTGGTCTGTGTGTCTGTTGTTCAGTCAATACCATGCTGTTTTGATGACATTTTGTAGTATACTCTGAAATCACAGCGTGTAATACCTCTAGCTTCATTATTTTTTCTCAGGATTGCTTTGGCTATTCAAAGTCCTTTATGCTTCTCGAAATATATATAGAACTCATACAACTCAACACCAAAATATAGTCCAATCGAAAAGTGGGCAGAGAATTTGAACAGATGCTTCTCTCAAGAAGACATACAAATGACCAACAGATATATGAAAAGATGCTCAATTTTGCTAGGGAACTGCAGGTCAAAACTGCAATGAGATACCACCTCACACCTGTTAGAACAGCTGTCTCCAACAAGACAAGTAACAACAAGTGTTGGAGCAGGTGTAGAGAAAAAGAAAACCTCAAACAGTGCTAGTGAGAACGTAAATTCATACAGCTACTAGGAAAACAGTGTGGAGGTTCCTCAAAAGATAAAGAATAGACTTACCATATGACCCAGCAACCCCTCTTCTGGATATGTACCCCCCAAATTTGAAAGCACTTATTTGCAAAGATATATGCACCCCTACGTTCACTGCGACATCATTCATGGTAGCCAAGACATGAAAACAACCAAAGTGTGCCTCAGTAGATGACTGGATAAAGGAAATGTGGTACCTATATACAATGGCATGCTACTCGGCCATACGTTTATGGCCGAAAGATGAAATACTGCCATTTGTGACACCATGGATGGATCTTGAGACTATCAGGCTAAAGCAAAGTAAGTCAGATAGAAACAGTCAAGAATTATATGATTTCACTAACATGTGGGATATAAGACAGAAAGCTAAGAAATGGACAAACAAGACAAACAAACGAACAAAAACTCATAGGTACAGGCAACAATATCATGGTTACCAGAGGGAAGGGGGTGGGGAGAGTAATGCAGGGTCAAGGGGGTCAAACATATGATGACAGGAAAAGCTTTGACTTTGGGAGAGGGTACATGATGCAATATACAATAATGTGTCATAGAAGTGGTCACTTGGAACCTATGTCATTTATTAACCAATGTCACCCCAATAAATTTAATTTTTTTAAAATGAATGAATGAGCCCTGGCTGGTGTAGCTCAGTGGATTGAGCGCGGGCCTGCAAACCACACGATTGCGGTTCGATTCCCAGTCAGGGCACATGCCTAGGTTGCAGGCCAGTTCCCAGCAGGGGGCTCATGAGAGGCAACCATACATTGATTAAAAAAAAAAAAAAAAGAATGAATGAATGAATAAATGGATAGCAACAGCTCCTTATAACAGAAGAAAAGCCCTCCACAGCTTGGCTGTTCCTACTCTGAAGTTTAATCACTGAGGGTTTTCATGAGACTGAAAGAATGTGACTTGGAATTTCTATTTCACACCTATTAAAGATATAAGAAAAAATTAGTCTCTTTGGTCTAAAAATGAGGTAGAGGAAATGTGAACAAGGCAACTTTTGGGACATTAAAAGTCACAGCGCCAGTCTTGATAATCAACCAAAGGTCTGGTGTTGTATTCGTATTTTGGCCTGGAGGGCACAAATTATGCCCATCAACCCTGTAGGTGACTTTTCAAGTTGTACACAGGCAGACGTCATTTACACACACATACACACACACACACTTTAAGCCCAGTGCACACCTCCCTCCTCCACCACATGTGAGCACAGCAAGAGCACAAAAGCTTTGCAAAATTGGCTAATCACACACAACATCTTTATGGTGGTAGTACAAACATATAAATGGTATTTAATGTGCTGTGATATTAATTCTAAAAGGAGATATGAACAGTTTCAATATACAGCATCAAAATCTGTGGAAATACTATTGTCCTTATTTGTTATCAGTCATATCTGTAAATACTGATCGGCCAAATTTTCTCTTTCTTCCCTTTTGTCAGAAGGACAATGCTTCCTATAAAGATTTTTCTGAAAACAAGTATGTTACCCTACTGGCAGATGCAAACAGTGCCCTTATTTAGTAACCTGAAGTTATGCCTCTTTTATGAGGCATGATACTGGTCCTCCGCAGATAAACAACACTAATGAATGTCCGCATGAAAACGGACACCCCCAGCGATAAAGAAAACATCCGGTGCATTCTGTAAACACCCACTGCGAGGCTATATAAAAATCCCAGGAGGAAAGGAGACTTTTGGAGTCAGGCAACTTGAGTTTTGCCACTAATCTCTGTCCCTCGCTTCTAAAAGGATGACCCCTGACTGTCCCCCCACATGCCGCCCTTCCGAGCCCCACGCTGGAGTTTCTGATGGGGTGACCACTTCAGCCTGTTCCGTGGAAACCACTCGTCTCCCCAGCACCCGTGCAGCATCCAGGTGCCACACTCCGAGCTGCCTGTCCAGGCCTCTCCTGCCAACCGGCTGCTTCACGCCCTGCTACCTGGCCGGGAGCTGCAATATCCCCTGCTGGGTGGGGAACTACGCTTGGTGCGAGGACGGGGCGTTCAACAGCAATGAGAAGGAGACCATGCAGTTCCTGAACGACAGGCTCGCCAGCTACCTGGAGAAGGTGCGCGGCCTGGAGGAGATGAATGCGGAGCTGGAGCGCAGGATCCGAGAGCGGTGTGATGCGGACCTGCCACTGGTGTGCCCCGATTACCAGTGCTACTTCAACACCATTGAAGATCTCCAACAGAAGGTCTGGTGTCTCCTTGTCCTAACCCTCCACCTTCCCAGTCTGTGATTTGCTTGGTCTTCATACTAGAAGAGGCTCTAGAAAGAAACCAGGGAAAGGGGACTTGCAAGCAGCGATGGGATGTAGGGGAAAGGGCAATGCACGAAAAGACTGACCCAAAGCAGCGTTTTTATTTTTATTTATAAATAAATATATAAAATCCTGAACAAATTAGTGGCAGAGCCCTGACTCAAGGCTGCCACTAATTTTTTCAGGATTTTACTTATTTACTTATTTATTTTTAGAGACGGTACGGGAAGGAGAAAGAGAGGGGAAAGAAATACCAGTGTATTGCTGCCTCTTACACACCCCTTACTGGGGACCTGGCCCACAACCCAGGCGGGTGCCCTGACTGGGAATCAAACCAGGGACCCTTTGGTTTGCAGGCTGGTGCTCAATCCACTGAGCCACACCAGCCAGGGCACCACTAATTATTGAGTGACCATAATATACTCACATACCTCGAGACATTACCTTTATCATCTACACTAGGGCTGAAATAATTTTAGGACTGTAGAAATGCAACTAGTCCTTAACTGTTAAGGAGCTGAAATTAATTCGGCCCTTTGAAGGCAACCACAAGGTTGATGTGGCCCCCAGTGAACATGAGTTTGACACCCCTGGTCTACGGGATGAGGAAAAACTGTTATATGGAAAACTGCTTCAGTCGGTAACAACATACATCCATATTATTTTTAACAAAGGATATTGAAATGTCATCTTCTTAATCATATAATTTTCACCTGGTGATAATTTTATTTTCTTATTGATGAATTTTTGCTATCATGGATGGGAATATAATAAAATACAGACTATTTATGGAGAAAAATATAACTCAGTTCAACTCCCAGGGAACTCAGTTTCTTCCTGCAGTGACATGGTTAGTAACAAAAGCAAGCTAAAAGCTGGTTTTCCCTTATTTATAAAGACTTTTAAAAGAATAATAATGGCATAGCTGTTAAATGAATAGATATTTAGATTTCTTTCAAAGAACCATTTATTACTCAGTAACTCCCTTCCCAGATTTTGTGCACGAAAGCAGAGAATTCAAGACTTACTATACAGCTTGATAACTGCAAACTGGCAGCCGAAGACTTCCGGTCAAAGTAAGTTTAATTTAAATTTGAATACAATTTATGGTTACACCTCTCTATCATATATATGCACACACACACACATCACAGATATTCTCTATATAGTATTTTCAAGCTAACCATGCTCACGAAGCCCAAATTTACCATTATTTGTGATGTAAAAGGAGTTACAGCCCATGGCTCCCTTGCGTCCCCTTGTCGTTCCTTATTGTAGCCTAGTGCTGAGCAGTGTCTAGCAGAGTAAGCATGAGCGCTCTCTCTCTCTCTCTCTCTCTCTCTCTCTCGATATTAAAGGTACGAGTCTGAACTGACTCTTCACCAGCTGGTGGAGGGTGACATTGGAGGCCTGCGCAGGATCCTGGACGAGCTGACCCTGTGCAAGGCTGACCTGGAGGCCCAGGTGGAGTCTCTGAAGGATGATCTGCTTTGCCTTAAGAAAAGTCACGAAGAGGTGAGGAAAGTGGTGAAATCACTCAAAGAATGTGAGACTGACAAAGTAAACTGATAAATCCCGTGTTTGCATGTAAGCTGAACTTGGGGAAATGCTGTTAAAGCCAGAACAAAGTGACTCGAGGCACTATATCCCCTCGGCCTGATCATTCCTGTGTGTCCCTGAGATACACGAAGGCACCAAACTCTTTACCTGCCATTGCTTTCGTGGGGAAGGTCACTCCACAACTGGCTTTCCCTGGAAGCCATAAGGTATAAAGAGTCAGGCAGATAAACAGGGCGTGTGAAGGTCATTTCCAAAAGGGGAAAACCACTCACACAATCTTTGGAGCAATATTTTTCAAGTATCCTGTATCTGTCAACTTTTTAAATCATAAAATAGGAAATGTATGATTATCCTATATTGATGAAGCTAACAAGTAAGAAGCTGAATGATTTAACAAAGTGTATTTTCCCCTTAACCTTTGTTGATGATAATAGCAGCTAGCATTTATTGAGACCTTACTGTGTACCAAGGACTGTGTGAGTGCTTTATATGCATATTAACTCATACATCTCCCAGCAAGTCTCTGGAACAGGTAAAATCATTACACCCATTTTGCAGATGAAGAAACTGAGTGCTGAAGAGATTCACTCTAGGCAGTCTGAAACTGAACCCCGCACTTTTACTTACTGCTCTCTAAAACAAAAATGGGACATCATGACTGTCGAAGTGATTTTTTTCTCCCACCACTCTGTGACATTCCTTACTTTATTTCCACTTTCAGGAGGTCAACTTGCTTCGTGGACAGCTTGGTGACCGACTCAATGTGGAGCTGGACAGTGGCCCCGTCGTCGACCTCAACAGGGTCCTGGAGGAGATGCGATGTCAGTATGAGATGGTACTTGCCAGCAACCGCAGAGACGTGGAAGAATGGTTCGCTGTTCAGGTCAGCACCTGGAGCCGTAAAATGACAGGCTTCTGGACTTCTGCCGTGTCCGCGTCCCCTAACCATGCCTGTGTTTCAGATGGGGGAGCTGAATCAGCAGCAGCTGTCCAGTGCGGAGCAGCTGCAGGGCTGCCAGATGGAGATCCTGGAACTGAAACGCACGGCCAGTGCTCTGGAAATCGAGCTCCAAGCCCAGCAAAGCCTGGTGTGTAGGGGGGAGAGAGCTTTGCTTTGTCACCGAAGAATCAGGCCTTAAGATACTATTGCCTCTTCCATAGCCCGAAGGAGGGACCCACACAGTTGTCTGAGTCTCCAATTCGCCAGGATCACATTTTCTTGCCTTTTCCAAGTCCCAACTAGAAGCAGAAATGAAAATTCGGCAGCTTGCACTGTCCCGGCAGGATGCATCGGCCTTGGCTCTGGAGCTTGAACATGGTCCTGCAACGCCCTCCGGAGAGGAGGAGAGAGGGGGAACGGCGGGGGTGGAACAGGGGAGCAAGGCCTGAGCCGAAGGTGCTCAAGCATTCCAGTGGGTTTTAACTCTGTTTTGATTGGGGCCAATTTTTCAAGCTCACAATCATATCTATGACAAAGAATGCTAATCACACCTTGCATTCAACCCCTATCCTAAACTTTCCAAGAATGCACTCCTCAACCAGACCCTTCACTGTAGCCCACTCCACCCGAGTACCGAGAATATTATGCATTCAAGACTGCATTACCCAGTTGCAGGCAAACGCCACTGTGTGTGCCTCCTTAGGTCTTACGGCGAGTATCTCAGTGAATAACAGCTAAGCATTCGTCCTGTCGGGGGCACAATTTAAGCCTCACAATAACTTTATAGGGTAAATACCTTCACTGACCCCTTTATACTGATGAGGAAAACTGAGGCTCAGATGAGGAACGAGGGTCATGCAATTTCTAAGAAGCAAAAGTTGAGCTGAATCCCAGTGGTTTAATCCCACAGCCTCTTCTCTTTGCCACACTATGCCACCCCTCCCTGCTACAAGCCCAGATGTTTCCTCCCAAAAGCTGTTGATCCCCCTTAAGCTACACAAATATACTGAAGGTTGTGATGGTGGCGGTAGTAATAACTAACACTTACATAGCGCTTAAAATTCCTACAGGCATTGTTCTAAGTGCCTTACACATATTAACCATTGAACCCTCACAACCATCCTATGAGATCAGCACTTTGTACGGCGCCACTTTTTATAGAATGAAACTCGGAGAAGCTAAGTCATTTTCCTTGGAGACTGTACTGCACAGCCCTTTTCACACCCTTTCTTTCTGCAGACACAGTCTCTGGAAGGCACTGTTGCAGAAACTGAGGCCCAGTACAGCACGCAGCTGGCCCAGATGCAGTGCCTGATCGACAACGTGGAGAACCAGCTGGCGGAGATCCGCTGCGACCTGGAGCGGCAGAACCTGGAGTACGAGGTGCTGCTGGACACGAAGGCACGGCTGGAGGGCGAGATCGCCACGTACCGGGGCCTGCTGGAGAGCGAGGACTGCAGGCAAGTTCCACACGATTATCCCCAGAGTCACAAAGAGGCTCGTGTAGGAGAATCCTGTTTCCCCAAGATCTGGCCAAGGTCAGACCACCCTAATGTGTTACAGGATCTTAAAAGAGTGAGGAAAAGCAGCTGACACTAGTCACATGACCATAGAAATGTTCAAAAATATTCTAAAGTTATAAAGCAGAATAACCATCATTATATCACTTTTCATGCTGGGGGGCCTGTCTCCCATTAAAGGGAAATCAGGAACAAGCGTCAGATGGCATTTGCAAAGTGAAGAACATGCATAACATTGTGTCCGACCACCACTGCTGCAGAGAGCATGAAGTGACAAGGCTGGGTCCAGGGATGATGGACATGGGTCCAATGTCACTCTCTGCACAGTGACATAATTCACAGGGCAAGTTTTGGGGTGATTTTCTCTGAGTTGACATTTTACCCAGCTCTCCCTTACTCGGCTTAGCTCTAAATGGCTTTTCTACAGGCTGCCCTGTAACCCATGTTCTACCACAAGCCCGTCAAGCAACACTTGTGAGCCGTGCCCAGCGTACGTCCTCTGCACAGTGGAAAACCACTGCGTGTGAGTCCTTCACACCCAGCACAGCAGGCGGAGGGACCACAGCCAGCAGTGCCCTAAAAGGGAGATGGGGCTTCGGCCGGGACATCCAACCTTGACACTCAAGTCGAGAAGACTCTCATACCCTAAAGTCCTCCTCTATGCATCCTTGGTATATATTTCTGCTTTATCATTTCCTCTCCTGCCTGCTTATCTGCGATAGTCTAGGAGTCTGTAAAACTTTTTTGCTAATCTCCATATAAAATGTAATTCATTCTTTTAGCCTGGTAAATATAACTTTGTGGCTTATTACTCTTGCTGTAATAACTCCACCCAAGTTATCAAATAACAACTATTTGATGTCAAGGTGATTGTCTAAACCAATGCCAATAGTTTAATCTTGCATAAACGCAAGCTAAAAAAATATTTTAGTTTCTAAAATACAAATAGATTAATCCATACAAAATGTCAACATCATAACTTAGAAATAAAAATACAATAAATTTCATTTTATTTTTAATTATAAAATACTAGATTCCTTTTTTTTAACTTGGCCCATGAAGTAGGTGGGGAATAAGTCATAATTCCATACCCTTAACATCCATTATCAATATTTTGGGAACTTACAAGTTTTCCTTCTTAAAGAAAGGTTTGTCCATATAATACATAATATTACACATGACTTATATACAACTGTATATAGTTGTCTAACCTGTTGTTTTCACTATGTAATCTAAGCATTTTCAATCTTAATAATATGGGAGGGACCCCAAAAGCCCAGAATTTATTAAAAACTTGTGGATTTGTTCTTCCACGTCTGAACTTCAGTCGCCTTTAAAGTCCTCTCCATGTGATGCAACACTCTTGTCGAGACCTTTTCCCACTGCTCAGAACGGCTTTTGAACTCATCGATTTTGATGCCTTTTGGTGCTTCTGCCATTTTTTATTCCACCTCTCCCACATCAGCAAAATGTTTCTCTCTGAGGACTTTTTCACTGGGAAAACAAAAAAGCCACTGGGGGTGGGGGGCAAGGTCAGGCGATTAGAGAGGGTGCGGCACAGGTTTCATGCTGTTTTGGGTCCAAAATTACTGAACACTCTGTGCTGTGTGGGCAGGTGCACTCGTAAATCAGCCATCGTGAAATGGGCAAATGCATTGGGTCTGCAAAAAAAATTCACCGAGCGGAACACAGCCTCTCATAACAACAGCAGCTGGTGCACTGATACAGATGGGTTCCTAGAACACCCAGCTAACGGGATGCCTGTACTAAAAGGGACCTGCCCTCCAGAAGATAATTCCAAGTTTTTTTTGGGGGGGGGTTCTCCATCCATGTAAGATCATCTTGTGACCATTATTTTAGTGGCTGCATACAATGCCATAAGCTACATCGGTCTGTTACTGGGCAGTTAGGATATAAGAGTCATTATTCTCACACACTTCAAAAGCAAAGTAGAGAACTTCCACTTCCAGAAAGACAAGTAGAGGTACCTATCCCCATTCCTCTTCCTAAGTGTGACTAAAAACCTGGAAATCCCATATACAAATATAAGCAGATCCCGAGAGGTGGAAGAAGAGGACAATCCATCTGGAGTCCGTGACATCCCAGGAGCAACACTGGTGAGTTTCCCGGGCTCCCTCTTTCTCTCCTATATTCTGTGCTGGGAACTGGAGAGCCACCAACCCAGAAACACCAACAGCTGTAGGCAGAGAAGGAAAACAAAGCTCCGAAAAGAGGTGAGTAAAGGGAAGAAGCGAGGTGAGGTTTCTGTACTTCACTTGAAGTGACTAAGTGTCAGTCAGTGTCAGTAGACTGTAGTAAGTCATATGCGAGTGTATACCATGTAATACCTAAAGCAAGTACTTAAAAAGCTATGCAAAGAAAACTTAAAATGCTATAAATAAACAAAAGTGGAATTCTGAAACATATTCAAGTAACCCGCAGAAAGGCAGGGAGAAGAAAACAGAGAAATTAAAAAAAAAAAACAAAACAGAGGGAACAAACAGAAAACCAAAAATAAAACACAGACCTAAGCCCTACCATACCAGGAATCACAACAACTAGAAATCATCTAAATACCATTAAAGGACAGAGATGGGCAGTGAATAAAAACACTAGATACTTTTCCACAAGAAGCTCACTTCAGATACAGAGATACAGGTAAGTTCTCAGAGAGCAGGCTGACAGCTGGGGCCAGGGGGGAGGTGGGGGGTGGAGGAATTGAGCAAAAAAGAAAAAGGACTCAGCGGTGTGGTGATTGCAGGGGGAAGAAGAGGGGTGGGGGGGGAGAGCATATAAGGGGAATAAACAGTAATGGGAAAATACAATTTAAAAAAGTAAAGGGATTGAAAAAATACGCAATTGTCCATAGCAGTTTTGTTCGTAATAGCCAAACTGGAAACAACCCAAATGTCCTCAAGATTTGAAAGCCCCTGTGGTGAGTGAAAAGAGCCACATACCACATGATGCTGTTTACGTGACATCCTTGAAACGATCAAATATAGAGATAGAGAATGAAGGAGAACTTTGTGGTGCTTAAATAGTTGTGAATTTGATTGTTGTGGTGGCTACATAAATCTATACATGTGGAAAAAATGACAAGAACTAAACACACACATCATATCCATTTCCTGGTTTTGTGATTGTACCATAGTTGAATGAGATATAACCATAGCTTTGCAACTTCCTGTGAATCTATAATTATTTTTTTAAAAACAGTGGGAAGCTGGGGAAAAGTTCTCCTTTTTTTGTATTTCTATTTTTGGAGGACTCAGAAATAAAGTACATGGTAATAACAGTTCATACAGGGTAGGCTTAAAAAAAAGTCGAGTTTCAGACCTAAAATTTTGTGCTGGATTTTTTTTACAGTGCGCTCTCCTCGTTTAACAATAAAAGGTAGTAAAAATACTGAAAATAAAATATTTTCCAGATACATAAGCCCATGAACTAGTGTTCAAACCCCATTACTCCTCTCATAATAAGGCTGGGAATAAATTTAATGCCGTAGCATCACAAAATGGCAAATTTAACTCGTGGAAATCTCTACCATATAAACTTCCCATCACCTGTTCTCCGCACTTCTGTGGCTTTTTTCCTGCCTTGGTTAAGATTATGGTAAAAAAAAAAAAATTGTGTAACAGTTTCCCAGCTTCTGTAATTTCCAATGAACTATATCCAATTTCCTCTCAAAAAGATGCACATGACTACCCTCCATGATATATAACATTTTGCATGACTAATCTATCTGACTTTCAGGAGTTAAAAATCTTTCCAACCTGGGTTTATGCAAAATCAAAGTAGGACTGAAGTGGAAAAACATCTTTAATAATAGGATGGACACGCTGGGGGCGCTCACATTGCTGTCAGCCTATCACATTTGATTGCACAGTTTTTGCACAGTATGGTACCAATTATTATGTTGAAGACACAGGTTAATAATTCTTGGTCTGTCCATTTCCCGAGCTAGCCACCCTGGCCTCAGTGGAGTGAGGATGGGCGCACTCAAGTTTTTCTGACCACACCGCTCCACAAAAAAGTTCGATCATTGAAGGCAGGAAGAAGCTGCCTTCAGGGAAGAAGTGCTTTGTCGGGTAACATGTATTTTAGGATCAGGTAACAGACCCTTACAGGGAAAGGAACACTGATCAGCAGTAAAGAAAATATGAAATATCCAAGAAAAGAAGAGTGTCAGTGATGAAATGTGGTCCTGAAGGCATCGAAGGGGAATCAGCTCCCAGAACAGATAAAGCCGCCAGCTCTGGGAAGAAAGAAGGAACAGCCCTGCCCAAGAGTCACGAGAGGAGAAGGAAAATAGGAAGATGGAGAGAAAGGTATAGAACAGAAACATTGAGTAGTTTTTTAACTTTTTTTCTGATTCTGAAAGTGATGCATTCAATTTTTAGAATGCATGTACAAGCATAAAGAAAAAGCCATTTACTGGTAATTATAAAATGCAGAGAATTCCGCTCTTCACATTCAGATATGTTTCCTTCCAGTCTTTTATCCATGTTTTTAAAATTATGAATGATTTCAAGCACTGTTACTTTTTATCTTCATTTTTATCATTGACACTATTACAATGGAGTCAAATTTATCCATTTTTCGCAGGTTCTTGATTTTTAGTCACTGCTGAAAAGGCCTTCCTTCTCTTGACTTTTTAAAAGAATTCTGTTGTCTTTTAGCATAACTTCTATTTCTCACAAGTGAATATTTGATCCATTTGCAACTCAAGTATATAAATAAAATAGTGGCATTCATATAGCTAGAGAGCTGTATCAAATCTATTTCCATATTAACCATATTTTATCAGGATATCATTTTATACGATAAACTGCATCAATTAAGAGGATGAAGGGCCATGAAGTTTGAACAGCACACACGGTAACCGTGCAGCTGTGGATGAGAATTTCACCTTGGAGGGCACTAACCTTGACAGTTCCCTTGGGCTCCTTCCTGGAAACTCACCTCCCCTACAAGGAGGCATCTGTGATTCTGATCATCTAACCGTAGATGAGTTTGGCCTGTTCTTAAAGTTACTATAAATGTAATCATACCATTTATACTGTTTTGTGTCCTCCTTCTTCAGGTCAGGACATTGTTTTCTAGGTTCTTCCATGTTGCTGTGAGTGCCAATAGATTATCTATTTTCTCACTGAGTTCTCTTCCGTGTATACACCACAGCTTGTGAAACCATTACTCTGCTTGTGAGTAGTTGGGCTGTTTCCACTTGGTGACTTTCGGAACAAAGCACTCCTACAAAAGTCTGTTTGTGCACATCACTCATTTGTTTGGGGCATACACCTCGTCATAAAATTGCTGGGTCACGGGACAGGTCCTTTGTCAGATGTATTGAGACTATTTTCACCCGGCATGTGGCTTGCCTTTTCATTTTTATTTCAGATTCCATATCTGAATCAGTAAAAGATTTCAATGATAATGAAGCTTAATCAATCCTTTATGATTAGTGTTCTCCACATGCTGCACACAAGATTATAAAGATACTGTTTTCTTTTAAAAACTCTGTATGTAAAACCTTCACATTTAAGTGTTTTTAACCCATCTTGAATTAATTTTTAGATATATTATGAGGCAGGGTTCGAGATGTACTAATTTGGGTACACAATTATATCACTGATTCAGCAACATCTATTTAGAAAATCTCTCAGTGACTGACTTTGGAAACTTCGTCAAAAGTCAATCGACTACATACACGTGAGTAGGTTTCTAGACTCTATTCTTTGTCGTCATTCTCTTTGCCGACATCACGCTGCTCCGATTGCAGTACAATTATAGCAACTTGCACAAATTTACACTCCCACTGTCAGTGAGTGAGGGCTCCACACACACAGTCCAATGCGTGTGGGATCAAACTTGGGTTTTCTTCCATCTGACAGATGGAAAAATAAAATATCTCCATGTAGTTTAAATTTACATTCCCTTTTATTATGAGTAATATTGAGCATTATTTCTAAGACACTTTTTCGAGATGTCTTTTATGTTTTCCTTCTGGTCACTATCTGAGGCGTAACTGTAAATATTCCTTCCCACATTGTCCTCTGCGTCCCGATTTTGTAGGTCATATCTCTTACCCATGGACAGGTTACTTGATGTAGTCAAATTCACTTTTTAAATATTTTCTTAATTTTGAGACATTATTGGAAAGGCCTTCTGAATGCAAATTTATAAAAGGTTCTCCTATGGTTTTTTAGCAATTTATGACTTCATTCTTCACATCGGAATCTTTGATCAGTCTGTAGTTCGCCCTGCTCGCCCTGCTGAGTGGTACGATCCAACATGGCCTGCCCAGCCTCTCCACCCCAACTGATACAGAACTGCCTTCACACTATGCAGTCTGTGGTAGTCTACCTTTTCCCTTCTATTTTAAATGTCACATTTACCATACACTAAGTCACAATCTATTTGGGAGTCTATTTCTGGACTACTTATTCTATTCCAAAAAGTCACTTTTTGAGAGGACTGCAACAAATTTATTGGGATCTGAGTTAAATTAATGTAGAGATAATTGCCAGTTTTATAATGATGAATACAGCATTTCAGGTCGAGAATACGATGGACATCTTTCCATGTATTCTAGTTTTAGCATTTTATTCCTGTCGCTCTTATACATTTCTAACTGAATTTGTTCCTGCACAGTTTATATTTGTTGGTGCTATTGTAAATTATGTTTTTTCCTTACATCACCTGATATGCAGAACAATGGATCCCCAAAGATGTTCATGTCCTAATCCCAGAACCTTTGAGTGTGTTAGGCCACATGGCAAGGGGGAAGTAAGGTTGTTCATCAGCTGACCTTTAATCCTAGATGGTATGACTAGGCCCAATATAATCATTAGAGTCCTTAAACGTGGAAGAGAGAAGCAGAAGAGTCAGTGTCAGAGTGATACACATGAGAAACACTCAACGGGCCATGGCAGGCTTTGAACATGGAAGGGGCCATGAACCGAGGAATGGGGGCAGCTTCTGGAAGAGGCAAGAAAACCATTCTTTCCTAGAGCCTCCATAAAAAATCAGGAACTAACAACTTTCCCAAGAAAATGCTGAGTAACTATTCCTGAGAAAGAACACATATACCTTTCAACAGATCATATTTAAACACCAAATATAAACCAATTCCATCACAATTTCTTAGTTAATGTAATACCGCAAGCAAACAATGGGCACTAAAAATGTTATCAAATGTGGGCTTTGGAAGAAAACAAAAGGTAACCAGCCTTTTCTTCAAGAAATTAATTGTCAGCGATCAAACCCTACCTGGAAAGGCTAAAACAGAAATTACCTTTAAAAAGAGCCTCATTTAAGACTGATATTTTAACCCATACTCAATAAAAAATGGAGAAAAACAACTAGGCAGAACAAAGAAAAAAAGGAAAAGCAAATGGTGAGAACAAAATAAAATATTAATTTCTAAGTTCATACCAATAATTAGTAGATACTAATAGTTTCCCTTTTCTGGAAAGCAGAGGGAAAATAAATGGGCTCATTCCTGGCCAAGCTCAATGCCAGGTGCAGAGGTCAACAAGGACTTAATGAACTCAATATACTCACACCCACTTAATAATTGGTGCTGCTAGAACTGTACAGCAGTTCCTTTGAAGAAACCATGTGAAGCTCTGTGCCCAGTGACAAGTAGTAGTTGCGATGGGTAATAACTCAGTTGACCGCCTAAGTGCACATTTTTATGAGCCAGGTAACTCTTCTCGGGCAAGTCAAGAGCAGACTAATGAGATGTTCGCATGGGACTCGATACAAACATTAGAAAGGAAAACATCCTTCCTGCTCTGACACCACTGAGAGGAAAGGCTATATAAGCCCTTCGAAAAGGAGAAAACCACCAAACGCTCGGGGTTTAGACTCACTCACAGTAGCTTGAGCTTTCCATCCAGAAGAACCACAGACTTTGAAATAAACCAAAGCTGGGCACACACTATGGATACCAAGGACTGTCCAACTACTATTTCTTCTTCAACACCATGCCAAAGCTGCTCTACGATTATCAATTTTAGGATCACTTCTTCGGACACCAGCTGCCAGTGTGGTGATCTTGAAGCCAACAGCTGCCAACCAACTCATGTTCTGAGAACTCTCCCAGCCCAGGGCTGCCAGCCTACTCTCTGCTTTGGTCTCATGCCCACCTGCTTGGTAAACAACATCAGGACCGGTCCCTCTGTGGATGACCGTGGCTGGTGTAGTGAGGGCATCAACAGGAAGGAGAAAGAGACCATGCAAATCTTGAATGACCGCCTTGCTAACTACCTTGAAAAGGTGCGGATGCTGGAACGGGAGAACACTGAACTGGAGTGTAAAATCCAGGAGGAGTGTAATAAGGAGCTCCCTGTCATCTGTCCTGACTACCTGTCCTACTACGCAACCATTGAAGAGCTGCAGCAGAAGGTAAGATTCGTAGCAACCGTACAATCAAGTTTTGCATTGATGTTCTCCAAGCAATAGTCCTTTGCTAAACTTTAATGTTTATTTCTTTTTATGCTGAAAAATATTTTGTAGAATAAGAAAACGTTTTGAATGAAATTGTCATCTTGATGCAATATTCAGAGTTATAGTCATAGTTTGTAGTTTTCCAGAGAAATATGCTCTGCTGTTATTTTAACCAGATGACTTGGGACCAAAATGTGTTAACAACATATGGCTGCCATTTCTTTAACCAAAATAAGACAACAGGAATTGGAGAAAATGAATTTTGTTTTAATAAGTTTCTGACTAGTTTAATTTTCACCCGTTTTCACCCATCACCACTTCTTCCACATGATGCTCATTTCATCACCTCCCAATTGTTCAAACAGTTTTTCCCACACCAGACCTGACTTTCCTGTCCAGAGTGATATGCTGTTGCTACATGTGGGGGACTTACCATATTTTGCCAGGTATAATGCGCATCATATTTTGGAACTGAGTCCTGTGTATGATTTGCATTATACACATGAATTAGTACCACCTATGTATAATCTGCATCCTTATTTTTCCCTAAAATATTTGGGCAAAAAAGTGCATGTTATATGCGACAAAATATGGTATTCTGTTTATTAGCTTAACGAATATTTACTGAGCACAATGACAAGGCACCCGACATTATCCTAGGCCCTGGGAACATATTGGGGAACTAAAATATCCCTGCCCACATGGTATTTACATTCTAGTAGATCATGGTATGTTATGCAAATTTAAGGTAAATTTTATATTTTAACGGTGAAACATCTACTCAAGCCTTCATTGAAATAATTCTTGCTTAACTTTTAGGAAAATAACAGAAGTTCTTATTTTTCAAAGTTGCCCAAACTTCCCAAGGATAGCTATTTGAAAAGCCTTCCCGGCTGACTGAAATCCACGCCATCCCCTTGGTTTTTAAGGAAGGGACCTCGGTGTTTGTCTCATTTGTGTGTACAACTTCTTAATTCTAGATCTTGTGCACCAAGGCTGAGAATTCCAGACTGGTCTCACAAATTGACAACACCAAACTGGCTGCTGATGACTTGAGAGCCAAGTAAGCCCACCCAACCCTGTCTGCCATTCACGGCAGAATTCACCCTGCATTGGACGCTAAACTCCCAATAAGATTATCCACTTGTCTACTCACCCTCCTACCCACACGGTGATGGCACTAGCCCAGAGGAGACCTTCAAATTCAATAAAGTATTAAGTTTAATAACCACTGACATGTTGTATACAGGCACCTAGAGTTTCTAACATATAAACCCACCTGATTACCTAAGAGTTTAGTAAAATAGGTAAGCAAATACACTGTTACCCCATTTAAGGTGAGGAAATGGCGGCTTAGCGGGGTTCAGTTACTTATGCAAAGGCACACGACCAGTACGAAACAGAGCCAAAACCTGGACGCGAGCTCTCTTAAGTCCTAACCCAATGCTCTTTCCGCTTTCGCTGCATCACCTCTAGGGGCAGGAGCAGGAGGATAAATTCCCTCCTCTCAAAGAACAGCAATGTAGCCTCGGTCTGGCAAACAAATATAGGAATAATAACTAAGTGCTCATGTTTATCAAGTGATTTCAGCTTTAAATGCACAAGAGAAGTATGGTAAATGAGAGGCCCAGAGGAAAATGCAGAAGGAAGTTCTGCGAGGCTCGGTGTACACCCCCTACGTCTTAACGTCTTTCGCTCCACGCCTCATTTTTAAAGGTATGAAGCTGAGCTGCCCCTGTGCCAGCTGGTGGAGGCAGATGCCAACGGCCTACGGAAGATCCTCAATGCGCTGACCCTGGGCAAAGCGGACCTGGAGGCAAGAGGCCAGTCTCTGAGGGAGGAGCTCCTTTGCCTCAAAAACAACCATGAAGAGGTTAGAGAAAGCCTCACCTAAGCCTCCAAAAACAACACTGATTCCTCTGAATTGAACTTGACAAAGGGTGTATCCTCTAGATAATCTTCTGGGTTTCAGCCCTGATAATACCTGCATTACTGCTACCGGTTTGATGTGTTTCAAATCAATTGCCTGTAACACAATATCTGAAGCCTCTGCTGCCCTCTCCCACCTTTGTAGAAAAAGGAAATAACTCAAATTTATTGTCTTCATAGGCTTCTCATCTTTTTTAAAGAAAAAGATCCTATTTATTTATTTTTTAGAGAGGGAGAGAAACATCAATGTGTGGTTGCCTCTCATGTGCCCCCTACTGGGGAACCTGGCCTGCAACCCAGGCATGTGCCCTGATTGGGAATCGAACCGGTTACCCTTTGGTTTGCAGGCTGGCCCTCAATCCACGGAGCCACACCAGCCAGGGCGGCTTCCCACCTTTTAGTCTGCATCCCCACACAGATTCCTGCCACTACTGGTATGAATCGATATCGGCCTAAGCCTTTATTAGCATTGAAGACTATGGTCTCTCATAAATGCCACCTCTATGTCGCTTCACCCATTAACCATCCCTGGAAATGATCTAAATTCTTTAAATACCTGCTCTTGCTAGTCACTTCCTTTTCATGCTGCACATATTTGAACACACAGTCACATCTGAAATAGCTTGAAGTCACTTTATAGCATCTCAAACGCAACTATGAATCATGTGTTCGTTTATTGTGGGCTATATTTCGGACGCAGTTAAGCTAAATTATTGCTGTTAGACAGAAACAAGAACAAGGAAGTCATCTATTCACCGAGTGACTTCACACCCTTTTTCTGTCCACAGGAAATCAGTTCCTTACAGAGCCAGCTGGGGGACAGACTGCACATCGAAGTGACTGCTGCCCCTTCTGTGGACCTCAATCGGGTTCTGCAAGAAATGAGATGTCGGTATGAGTCTATCATGGAGGCAAACCGCAGAGATGTGGAACAATGGTTCAACATGCAGGTAGGGAGGCAGCAAAGTCAAAACCAGTGAGTTGTTGGCCTTGCACTTCCAGGGGCCTTTTAATCCAAGTGGTGTTCTCTTTCACGATATCCACGGCCCTTGACTGTGTTTCAGATGGAGGAGCTGAACCAGCAGGTGGTGACCAGCTGTCAACAGCAGCAGTGCTGCCAGAAGGAGATCATCGAGCTGAGACGTGCCGTGAACGCTCTGGAGGTTGAACGGCAGGCCCAGCACTGCATGGTACGCGGCCAGCTGACCAAGCCCAGCACCATGGTGGCAGCGACAGCCCCTAACACTAGCTGCGATGTTTCCCGAACTACATCCCTCAGAACAACAGTCCTTCTGTTTGTTAAGGGGTCTGTGGCCAAAACAGGGCTTGTTGGTCAGATATGCCTGGGAAATGCTGCATTAAACAAAGGTTAAGTGGGGGGGGGGGCCCTTCCTGCGGGCGTTTGATAAGCTGGCGTGTGTGTCATGCCTCTCCCAGAAGGGGGTGTATGGTAGTTGGCACCCCAAAACTTATTTGGCTGTGGACCCTGTTTTTAAAGAATATCTCATGGCAGTAATAATCTATGAATACACTTTGGGAAATACTAAAAGCATTTTAGTGTTGTATTAATACAAGCATAATACAAGCATTTTGCATTGTATTAATGCAAAGCATTTTTACAAATTATAGAATTTATAAAGTAATCTTCTGATTATCTAATCTTCTTCACAATCATGAAGCCAGTTTTACAGATGAGCCTCAGGAGTGAAGTGACCTTCCCGAGCCAGATTATCTCACCCATCTCCTAGATGGGGATGCCAAGATCCCAGGGCATTAAGTTACAAAGGAAATAAAAGCCGGAGCCAGAATTCAGGTTCCCAAGTTAGAACTGATTGTGCTTCTCTGAAGTAAAAGGTATTTGAATACTCTGGTCTGAAGGGTATTAGGAAGACCTTGCCCCAAGGCCGGTTTTATCACAAGCTAGTCATGTGCGTGGGGACAGCTCATTTAAGCTCCTGGACCTCAGTTTTCTCATCTATAAAAACTGGGATAATCATGCAAATAATAGGTTATACTAAAACCTAAAACCCATAAAACTTAACAGAATGATAGAGCAGGAAGAAACTTTAATCATCAGAGTTTCGGCTCCTGTTTTACACCTGAAAGAGTAGATCTCATGAGGGGACTGTTTATGGCTAAACGCTGCTCACTTCCTTTTAAAGGTCCAAACACTCCCGGGTACCACAGTAATGGGTTTTTAATTCCTAGGTGCAGAATAAGTTGGAATATTTTTTCCTCTCAGAGGTAGGAAAGTGTGGTCAAAGATTATCAAGGGATTAAGAAACAGGAAGATACGTGGCACTTGGATAAAAGGAAGCAAGCTTAGTAAAGTTGATGATTTTGTTCTTGGATTTATTTGCTTTGGAGATAATAAGAGGGCTTGAAGATTCGTTAGTACCAGTTACAAAGGAACCACTGTTGAAATGGTACAGATCACAAGGGACCGGGGCCTAAAGGAGTCATCATTGTAAATCCTGCTTTTCTCCTACATGGTAGAGAGACTCCCAGGAATGCATCCTGGCGGACACAGAGGCCCGCTATACAGCCCTGCTGACCCAGATCCAGGGTCTGATCGATAACCTAGAGGCTCAGCTGGCGGAGATCCGATGTGCCCTGGAGCGGCAGAACCAAGAATACGAGATTCTGCTGGACGTCAGGTCCCAGCTGGAGTGTGAGATCGCCACCTACCGCGGCCTCCTGGAGAGCTCGGACTGCAAGTACGTTAAGTAAAAACATTTTCACGAAAGAAACGCTCACATACACCTAGGCACCGCCCCTGGCAACCAGACGGCAGGTGCTTTGATCTCCCCAGTGACGGGGAGGTTGGGACCCAGGGGTCCATACACCCTCTCAAGCTGTGCCACTTGGATATCTGCAATTACAAGCCAGTCTAGCTCAGCTCAGCAGTTTTGGGGAGCCCCTGTACCCGGTTAGTTCCTCGTAGGTGTTTTAGCGTCTTAAGAGTTTTTTAAAAATTACTAGGGAAAAAACGGTTTCTTTAAAGATGAGCATTCTTGGTGACACACAGGTTTCCCCCACTGAGATGAACGTCTGAACGGGTGGCCTCGAACAGGGCGGCCCCACTCTCCTCAGAGGCTCCTGCTCAGGCCGAAATGCCCGACCCTGCCCAGTTGCCTCTTCTCGATGCTAAAACCGTCATGTACATATGTGTGTTTCAGCACATTTTTTTACAGAAGTTGTAATGTTTTAAAATAATAAGAAGTGTACCAACCCATAAGAAACTGATCTAGAGCATGGGCTCTTTGAAGCAACTCCGTCCAAACTAATGCTCCAAAGGCAAACTTGGTTACGACTGTTAAAGGGACATCCCTCCCCAAAATAATCGGTGAAGTCAGTTCACAGAGTTCTTTAAACTGGCGTGTTCACCTTGCACTAGCACAATGTTAACCCACTGCCAGCAGGAGCCACAACATACCGAAGGGCCTTGAATCAGCGAAGAAAGATGATGCTTTCCAAGGACTCCTTACTGCCTCTCACTCCAGTCCCCCAAAGACCACCCACTCACAAACACACGCAGACAGCTCTTTGGAGCTTCTTGATGAAGCTTTGAGAACTCTTCCGTGGGTGGGGTTCAGGCCACCAGCAGTCCTGTGATTAACTCCCTGATAAGAAAAGTGTCTGATTAACTTCCTTTCCCCAGGTGATAAGCCCCTCAACATGTCCCTTCTCACCATCAACCCTGTGAGTTTAGTTCCCTTTATATCCACTCTGTGGATGAAAAACTAGAGTCACCAGCTGATGACAGTCTGAGGGCACCAGCTGGTAACTGACAGAGCTGGACCCACCCTGGCCTTGACCCTCCCATAGCGCCCTGGAGTTCCCTGTGATGGGAGCTAACACAATCCAATACTTCTCTACACCTGGGTTGCTGCTTTCCCGTGGATCTGGTCTGGTTCTTTTTCTTCCTCTAATGACAGGACAAAGTGAGGGCGTAAGTGTTTGTTTTGAACGACACAGGGTGAAAAATTAACCATCGCCATTTTTGCCTTCCCTCGGTCACAGGTAAAACTCTGTTTTCTTCTAGGCTTCCCTGTAACCCGTGTGCCACCAAACCTGGGCCTGCCATTTGCACAGCCAGTAAGGGCGGAGCCATGGAGTGTGCGGCCCCAGTGTGCGCAGCACCCTCAGCTCCCCGAGGGACACCGGAGCCCTGCGGTGCCTGCAGGGCCCTGACCCACCTACTGGCTAAAATCTGCACCGTCACCAAGGAGATCAAAGACGGGAAAGTCATCTCTTCGTATGAGCATGTGCAGCCTTGGTTCATCATCAGAGCTGCCCAAGCCTAACCTCCCAGGGCGGTAAAAATCCCTCACTCATGACACGGAGGCCAACATTTGTCCCTGCCCGAAAGGTTTAAGAGTCCCCCAGCCCCTGCAGGTACTTAGTTTCTTTCTACTACGGTGGGTCGCCATCCACAGATTATCTTTCATTCTGCTCCTTCCCTAAGTGTCCGCTGCCACACGGACGCTCACTGACGTTCTCTGGAAGCACTGCTCACATTCACCTAAGGAGCGAGCACTGACCTGTAAGTGCCCAAGAAGGTGACCTACATTGCTGCCCACAAGGGACGGGCAGGTTCCTCCTCTGTTTGCTCAGGTCTTATCGACTTGCGCTCCTCATCAGAGCCAGTCAGACAAGTTCTAAGGTTGTTTCTGGCTGTGGTACATGAAGGTAAAAAGCTACCACCTTCCCCTTCTTAACTCCTTCTGAGGATACGGAACGAAGCTTGTATGGGAACAGCACGAAGAGAGAAAAAGATCTTTATTTTAATATTTAGTTTCTTCGAATAGATTGTCATGAATCTGAATCCTGTGGAGCTCTGTTGTCTTAATTATTGTTTATGCATACTTACATACTTTACCTTCCCCAAGATATTTTTTAAGATATCCGTGCTATCCAAAACTTGGGGAACCATAAAGCTGACCAAATACTTTTGTGGAAAATGGGAAACAATTGTGGGGAGTGAATCTCGAGCATTTTCAAGAGACAGCATGGGTCCTTTCATGACATGTTTGCTCTGCCTCTAACCTCTAGAGAATGGGGTTTGGTTCTGATTGTTTTACCAGGGACGTGTGGCTGGAATTCTCAAGACATAACCCTGCTCCTCTATCTCCCTGTGATGAGTGAGTGTGAAAAAATAGCGTAGATGCCTGCTTCAGTCTATCTACCAGAGAGAAATGGTCTTAATATTCACAAACTTTGCAAGAAAGCAATCATGGATAATTGCTATTTGCAAGCACGAGGCAGTCCTGGAGCAAGAAGGCATTGTTTATGCCCAGCTGTTCTCAAAGCTTCTTACAGTAGGGTCACGGAGCGTGTACGTCATTTCCTACACAAATTATTTGGCATTTCCAGAGGTTTTAGTAAATAGTTCCCAATCAAACACAGAATGTGGGACCAAAAAAGCCTGAAGTCCTAAACTTGCCACTTCCTAACTGCTGCCTTCGGCAAAACACTTAACCTTCCTCCAATTTAATTTCCTCCTCTGTTAAATGTGAAGATCAAATGAAATTGTTTAGCTGAGGCTGCTTTGTATTCTGAAAGCACGACATAATTGTTACTTTTATAGAAGCTTTGTTTTTAGCCACTAGACCTAGACCTAATGATGCTATTATGATCTCAAGTTAAAACTCTTTCTCCATGAATTTCGTTATTCAGTCATGATTTTGGAGTTTTAATAGTGTTTGTCTTTGGGGGGCAAAGGATAGATCAAGCTCCCCTGTGATCAGGCCCACATCACTACTCTAGAAAGCATTTTTGAAGTCTTGGGATAGTATCAGGTATCAGTTGCTGACTGACGCCCACATCAAAGACAAAAGCATTAAGTCACAGCTCAGCAATCCACTTCCTGCAGACAAGTAGCAACTTAGACGGAGGAGTGGAATGCAGAACTCCCAGAGCGATCTCTTCTTCTACCAGTGAGTTCTGTCTCCTCTGAACGCCCAGGTTCCCCCCGCCCCACCCACCCCCGCAGCACTTAACCGCATACTCTCTCAGACTGTGGGCGGGAATGTGGAAAGAGCATGGGGCTTGGACGCAGAAACCCAAGTCTCAACCCAGCCTGTGTGTGTGTGACCTTGACTACAAGGCAGGTAACTCGGGCCCTGCCTCCTGTGTGACCGGAAGGATTAAATGGAGTCGTGATGGTGAAGGGTTTGATAAACTGCAAAGTGGTCTGCGGAAGGGAGTTTATTCCCCAGATTAAAAACCAGGCACGTGTCATTTCCTCCCAAGCCAGCTCCCTCGGGGTTGGCTCAGGGATGGTCCCTGGTGGGCCCCACACGTACCATCAACACAGCCTGGGAAACCGGCGGCCGAGACGTCTGAGCTGCCCGGTCTGCGCCGAGTTTCAATTCCAACAGGACTCAGGGTGTAGGAACCTCGCTGGACTCAGACTGACCTCAGGCGGATGCGGCAATGCCCTATCAATCTACCCCAGACATAGGGAATCTTCCTCCCACTCGGCAAAGAATCCCGCATGCCTTCCATGGTAAAAATAAATGGCAAAGTGCACAGTAAAGAGGGCGTTTGAACACCTCCAGATTCTACAAGTGTCCTCTCTCTACAAGGACACGTGCAGCCATCGGCTGGACCTTGTATCTGAGTGGTCACACTTTTTACTTATTTATTTTATATGTTTATTGGTTTTAGAAAGAGAGGGAGAGAAAGAAACATCTCCCTGTGGCCTGACCGGGGATAGAACCCACAAACTTTGGTGCACGGGACAAGGCTCCAACTGAGCCACACCAGCCAGGGCAAGTGGTCAAAACTTTCACAGGCAATGCGGATTCTGGATTTTTACCCAGAAGTTAAATCAGCATCCTATGCAGCCACAGGAGGGAGTTGAAGGGGTTTTTTGTTGCGTTTTGGTTTTTCCACAGTTCAGCAGCTGGAATAGAAAAGGAGCTGATAGACAGGGAGAGGGAGGAGTCAGTGCAAGTACAGTTTTAGCACAGCTCAAAAGACAGCCACGAATCAGGAAACAGCAGGGTCTCTGGAACCCGAGTTCAAATCCCACCACTGCTTCTTCACTGTGGGACCTCAGGCGGGGTATGGAGCCCTTCTGTTCTCCGCTTCCCCCATCTGTGGCACGGGGATAGTGGTAATACCCATTGTCACTAAGAGAATCAAATGAACTAAAAAGCAGGTAAAGCACTTAGAGGAGCACCTGGCAAACAGCATATATTCAATATATGTTAGTTATTTGGATCAAGGTTGCCATTATTAATATAAATGTAGCAACAATTAGAGCCTCTTTGGGAGACGGCGCTTTAAAGGACAATAACGCCATTACTGCTACTGCTGCATTACTAACACTACTACTAATAAAATGTTGGTTGCAGCGTACAGTAATAATAGTAATAATAAATCCTAGCTGCAGCGTGCTGAGCAGTTCCCACATGCCGGGCCCTGCACCGAGCTTCCCCCCGCTCGGCCTCTCACCCCCAGCGCGGCCCTACAAGGCAGGGCCTTTACTCCTGTCTCCCTTGGATGGAGATGAGTCTCAGACAAAGCGGGGGCCTCCCCAGAGCTAGAAAGCGACAGAGCCAGGGTCTCACCCCAGATCTCTCCAACCCTTGAACTCAGACACTTAACCACGGAACCAAATTACAGATACGAGGAGCCTGTGAGTCCCAGTCCTGGGCGGCGTGAGACCAGGTTCCTTTCCCCAAGTCTGTGAGTCCTGGTGAGACAGTCACGCAAAGCGCTGACTCCGTGCAGCTCGGTGGCCTTCTGTTCGCTAGAGCCTGCCTCTGGAGGAGAAGGGACCTTGGAGCCCATTCGTATTTCTAAACAAGGGAACGCGTTCTCTGCACATTTTGTCTTTTTCATGTGGACGCTACTGTAATACGAGATCTGGTTTAAACCCTTTGGAAGATGGAGTGACCACACTTCTCTCTTTCCCTTTGTCCCCCCATTAACTGCCCCACACACCCCTGAACATGGGCCACAACCTCTCCATCCTCATCCTTCACATCCATTCCACTATTTTCTGCTTAGAAGAGGCTGCCCAAAGAACTTTCCTCAAGAGTGCGGTCAGTAGTAACCCCTCACATTACTTCCCGCCAGGATTTCTCCAGTTGACCAGAAACCAGCCCCATTCAAAACCCCCCCCCCCCCGGAGCGTGTAAAATTCAGATTCTCGAGCCCAGTCCCACCCTCCTGCAACACCGCCTGGGAATCCAGACTGTAACAACATTCTCAGCTAAAGTGCATGTGCTGAATTAAAAGCCACTGCTTTCTAATTGACAGGTGCTGTGTTTAAAGATCTAGAAAGCTCCATGCATTTTTGAGGTCCATTTAGGTTCTGACATTAGCTGGAGAGGTGACCGCTCACAGACAATCCCTTCTCTGCATGTCTGCTCACCTGTTTATGAAGTGGGGGGGGGGGGTCGGTCAGTAAGTTAATAAGCGTTGCTAACTCATTTAATCCTTACAGCACTACCGTGAAGTAGCTACTATTAACATTACCATTTAAAAGACAAGGAAACTAACAGAAGTTAAATGACTTGCGCAATGCCACACGAAAATCAGACTGAATTTTAAGGACTTTGATTTCCTCAGCAAGGTCAAAAGGGTGCTCGATCCATTGTACAGTCAGTCTCCAAAAATAGAAGGTGTATTTTTAGCCACAGGCACAATGCTGTGCAGCAGGTCTCCAGAATTTATTCAGTTTGCATCACGAACGTTATCCCCTTGATTAGCAGCACTTTCTTTCCCCCTCTCCCAAGCCCTGGGCAACCACCGCTCTATTTTCATTTCTATGAGATTGTCTGTGTTTAGAAACCTCGTATAAATGGAATCACGCATTGCTGTCTTCCTGTCACTGCCTTATTTCACTCAGCGCAGTGCCCTCAGGTTCATCTCTGTTGTCACATGTGGCAGGATTTCCTTCTTTTTAATACTAAATAAGATTCCATTGTGTGGGTGTATTGATGTCACATTCTCTTTCATCCACTCACCCATCAGTGGACACCAAGGTCACTTCCGCCTCTTGGCTATGTGAGTGGTGCCGTGCTGAACATAGGAGTGCTAACAACTCTTTGAAAATTAGAACAGTACTTGGATGGCATCTAATACCCTTCTGCGGGTAAGAGATGGAGAAACTGGGCCCAGGGGGGAAAGGTGACTGGCCCGTGACTACAGTCAGTGAGAGAACCCAGTGCTCTCTCCCACTTCTCACCCCCCGCCACACCTGTAGTAGACGGAGGTGGACCTGGCCGGATGGAAACAGCACTGGACCACCAGGCAGTGACCTTGGGTTCTAGCTCTTAGCAGCAGAATTTGACCTCTCTGTTTGGACTGTAGCTGCTCACCAGGGGTCTTTGGATCCAACATCTTTAGATTCTTTCACACTCCGTAACATTATTTACCTTATTATACATAGTCTTCTACATCTGTAAACAGGAAATGACGTAAGAAATAACATCCTCCAAATGACATAAATAACACACGCTCTCTCTCTCTCTGGTGTCTTTTAAAGAACTTGCAGTTCTTCAGTGGCTAGTGACTTTATGTCATTACTAACTCCCACAATTTCCGTTTATCAAACA